CGACCCGGCACCTAATTCCCCTCACACAGATCGGTATCGCATTCATTAACGTACCAGTCCCTCGGCCAGCGCTCTCCAAGTGGGCAGACACAGCTCTCCAAGATCTCCCCACGTCTCCTGTGTACAGCGCCCACGTGATCGGCGCTCAGCCTGCTACTGTGCATGCGCAGACTGCCCAGCACTCTCATTCAGAAATCCTGTGCATGCACAGTAGCAGGCTGAACGCTGATAACGTGTGCTTTTTGCAGTGTGCACACAGGAGACGGCAGATCTGGCCGAGGAACTGAATGCTAAGGATCTATGTTAGGGGAATTAGGTACCTGCAGGGTGGGGGTCGTGTCGCTATATTATCAGATTTGTTTGCCCGGCTCGACACTGATTGGCTGGGAAGCCGGCTTCCCGGCCAATCAGCATCATGCCAGCCAACCATCATGGAGCCAGGTTTCCGGCTCCATCTTTCCTCGCTGCACTGCCAGTCAGAGGAAATCTTCCTCTGACCGGAAGTGCTAGTATCTGGAAAGGTATCGGACCATTTGGGCGAGTACGAGTACTCACCCAAATACTTGGTATCGGCACCGATACCGATACTAGTATTGGTATTGGTGCATCCCTAATATATACAGTACTAGATAGCAGCAAGCTACCTTTCTATACTGCTGGGTGGCTCATGAGTGACTTGCTCTACTTCGTTTTGGTTCTGTTTTATCCTACTTGCTAAGGGGAAGCAGTAGCTAGGAGTTTTCTGTGAATTATATCATGAAGTTCCAGCACCTACTTCCCCTCTAGAAAGTGGTTACATCCACTTCTGTGCTAAGGACTGAGACGCGTCCATCTTCTCCTTGATGTCAAATGTAGCAACAAAAGAACATACAAATGGATACCACAAATTTAAAAATATATTATATTTGCTTATACTTTTTGTCCGAACAGGAAGATTTTTCCTAACTTCCTTCCCAGAGACACAACAGGAAATAAGAGAAAACCTATCAAAAGTGAGGGGAAGTTCCTTCTTTGATAGCTGTCGCTAGAACAGGTGTGTCTTACATGCATGGTCTGTTGCTCAAATGATAGCACAAACCACATGTGCACTTCCTGTGCAGAAGTATTGTTTTATTATTATCATCTGGCACAATGACATGTATTTTAGAAAAGTGTAATTTTTTTTCCTCTGTAAGAAATCAGATGTATGTATTTTGAGCTCCTACTATTGCATTCTGTTCATAATCTGCTTTGTAAATAAAGGAACGTAACCTAATGCTACAAATGCTGGTGGAAAGGTTGTAAACAGGAAATATTTATATACCATGAGGTTGAATTACTAAAAAAGTTGAGAATGTTCACAGAATAAATACACTAAACATATATTAGCTTCAATTACCAAATCATTTGTAGGTAAAATAGATAAATAGGGATTTTCTTTTGACACAGTGAATCATTACATAATTTATTGTGCGAACATTCTCAACTTCTTTAGTAAATCAGAATCAATGTTTTCTTATTACATATACAGTGTATGTATGTAGAAAACTAAAATGTATAATTTTTTTGTTTTAAACAGTATAATGGTTGATTTAAATAAAACGTAAGCTTTAGTTGTAAAACCTTCAGATAAATGTAAGATAAAAAAAGAAAAAATACGAAGCTGGGCATTTATTACAACACAATTAATATTTTACTTTGTGTAATCGATTTCGGATAATGCATTACATTTCATATTTTTGGCTGGAGTTGTGCAGCATGTGACTCTTCTTTTTATTATATGTTTGATGTATATGTTTGATAAATGGCTACTGATTTTTTTTCTTATCAGCTGGGGAGAACCTACTAATTACAGAGCTAATCTGACTGATTGGATTTGGCAATTATGTTAATTGCTTACTGTAACATTTAGTATTCGTCAGTCTGAAAGCATTTTAGATCACTGCCTCTTCTTTACACACACAGGGGTCTATTCACTAAGCTGCCGTAGACAGCCGAGTGACTAACCGACCCCAAGCGAAGTGAGTCGAACGCTGTTCGGCTATTCACTTCAGGCTGGTACGGCTGATTCCAGACGTATATCGGCTGAAATCAGCCGTACATTGTGTGGCTTTGTGTGGCTTCGGGTCGGCCGAACATGCTCAGCATGTTCGGCCGACCCGAAGTGCAGAAGGAGTTCGACTCAGCCGGTCCAACATCTGGATCCGCTAAGCCGAACCTCCGGCAGGCTACTCGCTGCTGTTCGGTCTATTCTCATAGATGCCGAACAGCAGTGAGTAAATAGCCGATTGCCACTGAGCGCCATTTGGCTCGGGTGTTCTGCTCGGTCCCTCTGTGGTCCCGAGCAGAATAGAAAAATAGTTAAAAAAGTAGAAAAAAAATTTGAAAACGATTGTACAGAGCTAGCAGTGACAGCTAGCTCCGCCCAACTGTTTTCTATTGGCCGGGCGGTTCTGCTGCCGTCAAAAAAAAAATAGAACACACCATAGGAATGCATAACTAGATTCCTATTGGCTATTTCACTTTGCAATAGCCAATAGCAAATTAGCTACTGCACCGTCCTCTGCTGCTGTCAATCACCAGAGGGGGACCTGATGGAGAACTGCAGGTCCCCCTCTGCTGATTGACAGTAGCAGTGGGCAGGTGCAATAGCTAGTTTGCTATTGGCTATTGCAAATTGAAATAGCCAATAGGAATCTAGCTAAGCATTCCTCTGGTGATTTCTTTTTTTTCTTCTTCTGACGGTAGCCATGTCAGAAGTAAAAAAAGAAGAAGAAAAAAACGAGCAGGGAAAGGTTTACTCTGCTCGATCAAGCAGAGTGAACCTTTCTGGGGAAAGTGTTTCTATCCCGGGTGGCCGGGAGCCTATTAGACTCCCAGAGCGTCCGGGGGAGGAATAACAGATGGCGTTCCTGGTTACCCGGTAACCAAGAACGCCTTCTGTCACTACACACAGAGAACATGGAGAGACCGCTGTGATATCATAGTGGCCCGGCCGGGTTCTCAGTGTGTAATGACAGCGTCCCTGGTTACCTGGTAACCAGGGACGCTGATCTCTATGAAAGTGGCTCGACTGAGGCGCTCGGCCGACTTCGGGAGCTGTACGGGCTATAGTGAATAGCCCGTACAGCAGTCCCTTCGGTTCCTGGGGCCAAAGCTAGCCGAAGGATCAGCCGAAGCCACGGCTAGATCCTTCGGCAGCTTAGTGAATAGACCCCACAGTGAATGGCACAAATGGGTCGTAGCAGTGGAAATGGATGCATAGGTACACTTAGAATTGGAAAAAAAAACTTCAACGGATTTTCATATGTTTCTTAATATCCAAATATGTTTGAGTCTGATTTGTCATCATTGATATCACTCCAGTTTTCAAAACGGTATTCCTAGAATACATGAGTGCTATTATGCATACATGGCTATTAGTGTACATTTATAGCATAATATGTTGCATTTCCCTGAAAGCAATAAGCCTCATGCATGAAAAGTGCAGAATGACTGTACTTCCTTTAACAACAAAACACTTTAATTTAGTAAGCCAAACAGAAAAAGGAAATGTTGAATGTAACTGCTATGCTATAAGCAATGCAAACTGTCTTATTTATTTTAATGGTACCGTGCAAAAAATCCATCAGCCTCTTAAGAGTGAATAGATCTATTAAATCTGTCCTAAGAAGTGCTTACAATCCAATATCCCTGCCAAGGGGACATTTTGAGTGGAAGCATATAAACCTACCATCTTGGGTTTTAAGAAGTAGAAGAAACACGTGGAGGAACCCAGGGTAATACTGGAAGAATCTATAAGCTCCATATAGAGGCTGTCCTAGGCAAAAACTGAACCCATAAGGCCCCGTTCACACCAAGGTGGCATTGTTTTCACGTTTTTGTACGCATGGGTTCAGTGTGCTTCATGAAGACACATGTTTTGACTGGCAGCTCAAGAAACATTGCGGTCAATGGACGAACGCGTGTAGAAATGCACAAAAACGCGCACAAAAATTTGCAACATGCTTCTGCCGTGTGTTTCCTGGTGTTTCCATTGAAGTCTATGGGGTGAAAACAAGCTGTATACTGCCAAAAAAAAATAATGGGATTTTAAAGCGCTTTTTCTACTGCTCAAAAATGCCTAGGTGTGAACCAGGCCTTACTCTAGTACTGTAAAGCACTTATGCTAATCCTTTAGCCACTATGCTGCCTGTAAATGAGGGCCAAAGTACTGTTCAAATTAGTGTTCATTTTCTAGTATATGATGAAATATTTTCTGTGTGATGTATTACTCAGCTCTGATCAATAGCAATATAAACTGAGATTTGGATCTGAATAAACAGCACAGCACTGCAGACTTTCATTTGGAGTTCAGATGTGTAGACAGGATTTCATGTGAAATAGTTTTGTCATTTTGTCATTGTCACTGGTGAATGGACATGCACACATATTTAATCTAAACATGTACAGTATGTTCATGCACTGTGTAGAACATATATTTACTTCAAGCAACAAGTCATCCGCAAGAGAACTAAGGAAATGCCAATTTCTTGTGCACATTGTGATTAAAAGAGAACTAACACCAAACCTTTTTTTTTGGCTTTAGTCCTCAGCATTACACACTGGCTCTAAGTATTGGGAAGATACTGTCCCAATACTTCTCCTTACAAGTGAACCTTTTATATACTTTAGTTAATCATCTACTGGAAATAACAGAAGTATATAATATCCAACCCTGCTAATCAACTACTCCTGCAAGAATAGTTGTCAGTATCAGCAGGAGAGCAATGTATGATCTGTAAGAAAGGAAGAGTCACACAATCAGGAGCTACTGGTCTGACATTGAGAGCTTTGACTCAACACAATTAGAGCAGTAGATTGCGTGGCTTTATTTTTTTTATCTTGCTGTAAGGGAGCCAGAATTAACTCCAGTGGCTAAACTTTTACATCCACTGATTGTATGCAATGGCATGACTTTGTTTTTGTACTCTCTACGTGTTATTATCATTAGAAACACTTTCTAAATATTTCTTCCACAGATGCATATCCTAATTCTGAACTAAGGTATGAGTGGACAAACCTCACAGAAAAATCAGTTGTGGTGGCACCAGATGGTTCTCGTCTAAATCAATACCATTTAATCGGGAAAACTGTAGGAATGGAAAACATTAGCACCAGTACAGGTAAGACATATGTCCTATGCATATGATTTTATTGTTTTTCATACCGAAAAAGGGAAGCTATAATGCATTTTCAGAGAGTAAACTTCCTGAGTAGTTACGGTGGCATTTACCAAAAAGGAATTTTCAATGTGACTTTCACTTTTTTTTGTGACTTTCACATTTTATTTGCATGCTGTGCTAGATTTGATATGCTGATTAGAAGATTCTACCTCTAGTGTTTATTTCTGTCATGAGGAAAGTATGTGGGCTACCATTTTTGATATTCTTTAAGAATATTAGTTCCTTTTCTATCATACTGATGTTTTGGCTTCAAAGCAACAAGCATAGAAATATGGATTTCTGACACTTTTCTGACACTCATTTACAGAATGGGTCTGTAATTTAAAAGTATTAATGCCAGACAAAGACAGGCAACTATTATTTTAAAAATAGGGCCAGCAATAGCAGTACCCACATAACAGAGTCACTTCAAGCAAATATGCTTAGGTCACCTTGGTTATATACTGTACATACCAACTATACATAGAGATCAGTAAAAAAAAATAACAAGCATTTCAATTATTTATACTTCATCTAATGCATCTAGAAATAATATATATCGCACATTAAAAAACTGAAAACAACTTTATATCTCCTGCAACTCTTCTACTGCTGCTGTAAGCATTAGATGAGAGGATGCATAGAAGGCATTAAAGTGACACTAAACTCAGGAGATAAATATATTCAAGTACCTTTACTATTAACAAAAATGTATCTTATTTGTGCATCACTCGGCTGTAGATCGTCAAATGATCTGTGAATCGGTGCTGACACTGTCCTTCCTTCTTTTATTCCCCATGATCCCTCTGTTGGTGGGTTGTAAAGTAGCCACCGATCCAAGCTCCCTCCCATGATGGACTCAATCTCAATACAAATTTGTAAACTAAATGCGAGATTGTAGTCCATCACAGGGAGTGAGTTAGGTGCAGTGGCTACTTTACAACACACACGGACCAAGTTGGAACAAAAGTAGTCACCCTCCAGAAGGAAGGACAGTGTCAGCATGAATTCAGAAAATGCATGCATTTTTAAGATTTAACTCCTGAGTTCCTTTATATAGCTTGATTTTTATTTTTAGCCCCAACATATATTATACCCTGTACCAAATGCATCCAATAATTCACATGCTGGGGCTCTAAAGAGGTTCTACACTACCCTAATGACTGTAAACCACCATATTTTATAACCCTGTATCAAAAAAGAGTCCCCTATAATTGTAAGCCTCAATGAGCCTCGCAATAGTTTGAGCTCACCTTTCACTTATGAGCTAAAGTATTTTAGATAAGCAAAAAAAAAAAATGCTACTATGATCATATGATATAACCTTATTTGCCTATTCAGTTTCTTTGTTAAATTCCTCCTTAACTACTTTGCAAAGGGGGCAGCTGAGAGAGACTGAGGCAAAATATGAAGGAAGATTGCTATAACTAATATGATTTGAAAGTACAGAAGGGAGTAATTTTAAATAAAATAGCTAATTAAAGTACATTTCTGCATTTACCACCTTCCCACACAAAGCTGTACATGATGTTTGTAAAGATATCAATTTATTTTGGATTATGACTGTTAACCCTAATCCTACACTTGATAGTAATGTCATTAAACTCATGTTATCAACATTGCTGCCTTAGGCCAAGTTCACTAAATTTGCCTCAGTAAGAGCTCTACTACGGTGCATGGGTGATTCAGAAATTGTCCTGTAGAAACAATTGAGTTATCCTCAGTGTGATCTCCAAGATTTGTAATAAACTACAAATTATCTTATTTGCTACATGGGCCAAAGGACACAAATAAGTGGCAGATGGGATGTTTTAAATTATACTTTGTGTTCATGAACATACATAAAAAACAGCAAGTTAAAAGAGAGGTAAATATGTTTTAAAATGAGTAAATACAGATACTTTACTTTTCCTGCATGCAAATTAATTTACCCCAATATTTGTGGCAGGTATTATATCTTGCTGGCTGGGTGCAGTGGACAAATCAGTGGTGAATCACTAATTAAATAAATGATTCCATTTTGTAAAAACGTTGGTAGTTGGTGAATGACATTGGCTGTATCTTACGAATAGTGAATGTTACTGAGACTAAGAGGGTTATTCACTATTGAGCCGAAGGATCTATCCGTAGCTACGGCTGATCCTTCGGCTTGCTTGGGCTGCCGGAGCCCTTCGGTGCAGTCGAATGAAGCGCTGCTGTATGGGCTATTCACAATAGCGGCTAGATCCATAGTGACAGCCGTAGAGCTGTAGTGACAGCCGCTTGTGACAGTGGAAAGCAGACCGTTTTCCGCGCAACCGGCAACATAGTTACATAGTTAGACAGGTTGAAAAAAGGCACAAGTCCATCAAGTCCAACCTATGGAGATACAAAGAAGAGAACACTATGCCCACAATTACCCAATGTTGATCCAGAGGAAGGCACAAAAAAACCCTATAAAGCATGGTTCGATTTGCTCCAACAGGGGAAAAAATGATTTCCTGATCCCATAAGGCAATCAGATATTCCCTGGATCAACAATCTCTGATGCTTAATATACGCAACAAGTGGGTGGAGCCAGCCGTGATGTCATGGCTGGGTCAGCCAAGTTTTTGTCATTCAATAACAGCCCAGTGTCCTCAAGGACACTGGGCTGTCATTACATGACAACAGCTGGGCGGAGCAGGCCATGGTGTCACAGTTGGCTCTGCCCAGTTGTTTTCATTCGTCTGGGACCTGCAAGAAGATTTTGTCAGGTTCTGGCCAAATGTAAAAAGTTGGGCGAAGCTAGCGGTGATGTCACCGCTAGCTCCGCCCAATTGTTAATATTTTGCCGGCATCTGTCAGACTCTTCATTCTGCGGTGGGAGTTCGTTGTGTGCAGTCGAGCCAGCGGGCATCGAGTTTTTAAAAATTATTATTTATTTATTTTTATTTCGCCAAGTTGCCGCCATGATTGACCCTGGATCACGTAAGTGGATCCATTTTTGGGATTTTTTTCTTTTTAATAAAGGACTTGGCAAAATCCTTTGTTTTGTTTGTTTTTTCAATTCAAGGATTTTTCAAAAGTCTGGCCTCTTTTTTTGCATTTAAATGTAACCCTTTAGAGAATGGGTAGGGGTAACCCTTACTCATTCACAAGGGATGGGGTGCATCCGGGTGCCCCTTTATTAAAGAGGTACCCTGATGTGAATAAGCTTCCCTGCCCGCACCCCCACAACCAACGCCCCAGGGCTTGTGGGGAAGAGGCCCTAGTCCCCATCGGCATGGGGACAAGGTGCTTTTCCAGGGGGGCCCCCGAGTGCATGTGGCCTGGTACGGCAGGGAGGGGGGGTGCTCTCTCATCCCCCCCTTTCCTGCCCTGCCAGGCCTGTGCTCAGATCAAAGGTCTGATTGGGAATTTTAAGGGGGACCCCACGTTCCCCCCCATTTTTGGGGGTGGGGTTCCTCCTTAAAATTCCTGCCAGACCTTTTAACTTGGGGTCCTACCAGACCTTAAGGGCCTGGTATGACTTTTGGGGGGAACCCCACGATTTGTTTTTCTTTGTTTTTTAAATAGGGGTCCCTTCTAACTATTCTACCAGACCTAAAGGGTATGGTTTGAGAGGGGGACCCCACGCTGTATTTTTCTTTTCTTTCTTTTTTTATAACATTTTTTAATTTTTCTATTTTTTTACTTTTTGTTTATTTTTTACACTTTTTTAATTCTGTTTGGAGTTAGCGAGCTGAATAGCCGAGCCAGATGCCGCTTGGCGGCATTTGGCTATTCACTCACTGCGGTTCAGCCCCTACGAGAATAGGGGTGAACGGCAGCGAGTGAACCCTTGGTGCTTCGGCTCTGCCGAAGCATGTGCGCTGAGCATGTTGGCTGACCGAAGGCAGCTGATGTACGGCTAATTTCAGCCGATGTACGCCTGAAATCAGCGGTACTGAGCCGAAGTGAATAGCCGAACGTCGTTCATCATCCTGTCCCTTTAATTTTCAAAGAAAATCTCAGCATCCCTGAGTAAAATGATATATTTTAGCAAATCAATTTAACAAGTAAAATATGTTGATGTATAGAAACTGCCCCCCTATTGATTAATATGTTGAGGCCTGCACTAAAATGAAGGTTGTAATTGCATTGGCTATGATAGACAACACAGACACTTCTCAGACACTTCTCTGCAGTGAAATAAATCAGTTCTGCTTTGCACTGCTCATTTCACAAATCACTATACAGCATTACTAAGGCAGCAGAAAAGTCAATTCATGCAGAGTTCAAAATGCCTTGGAAAGCAGTGTATAGACAAGAAGACATCATATTATGATGTAGCATTTTCTCTTAACCTTTCTTTTCTGCTCTCATGTAGACCATTTGTCTTTCCTAGTCTGACCCATTTGCTGTCAAAATTTAATACACGAGCTAGTGTCATTTCAATTTTCATTACCATAGTGATGTTAAAATAAACAATCTCTGCCGCAGTGCTCGCAATGTGGGTTAAATAAACAATAAATAAATGATACCATTAAACATCTGATCACAGCATAATTCTATTAGAAAGAAGAAAATAAACTCTAGCAGTAAAGGCCACAAATTATTGACAGCAAACAGGAGACGTGATCATACTTTTCAGTACCGACTGAGGGTATTATAGACCAGTTGCTCACATAAATATTCCAAACAAGGTCAAAAAACTGACCCATGCGCAGAAAATAATTTCCCACCTATAAATTTAAATACATACAGTAAAAAGCCAAAACTGTTTTTGTTTTAGATAAAGTAGGAAAGTCTACTGTTATTTTATTATTGTTTTTTTTTTTGCTGTCTGTGTGATTTTTGGAAGAGGTTCCTTCACTTCCTGTCGCTGAGACACAACAGAATGTAAGAGGAATATTCTCCAAATGAAGGGAAATTCTTGGTTAGTGTTTACATTGGAAAATTGCCCTTCTCTTCCTAATTAGGTAACAGAGGGCTCAATTCCCTAAGACTTAAATACCAAA